GATCCTGAAAATTTGGACCCGATATAATCAAATCCGGCTGCTGGAGGATTTTTTGAATTTGTAAAAAAGTCGATTTTTCACTGATTTTCGAATATTTGTATCTCAGCTTCTATATAACTTAAAGACTTCTGCCCAGCGGCATTTTTCTCAGTAGACTCTCTACTTTTAAGAAAAAAAATAAGTATTTGGTCTAAACTCATATAGGGCTTAGCTGACAGCCTCTAACTAACGAACTCTTTTGGTTAAATTTTACCTATTTGTAAAACACTAGTATATGTACAGTTACTGTAGGGTGTGCCAAAATGTATCTTCCTTGATGGACCTTTTAAAATTGGAATTTTGAGTTCCGCTTTTAACAGGAGTTGTGTTTGGGCATTTCCTGACAAATTTTGGGCGTAAAGGATTTATTTGATTTTTATAGAATTTTTTATCAGGAGTTTCGTTCGGCCATTTTTGCTGGAATTTAAAAATTTCAAAATTTAGCCGAACAAAACTCCTGTTAAAAAATTCTATAAAAATCAAATAAATCCTTTACGCCCAAAATTTGTCAGGAAATGCTCAAACACAACTCCTGTTAAAAGCAGAACTCAAAATTCCAATTTTAAGAGGTCCATCAAGGAAGTTACATTTTGGCACACCCTAAGCTATATAGTCAACGGACTGAGTATTTTGCATACATTTTATTTTTGCTGATCACATAACCGATGAATTATTCTTATTACGGGATCACGGGAATGTAACAGATTAAAATGAATACATTTTCTAAACACTTGAGATGTGGAAAAGAAATTTGGCTACTTATTTTAATAGATTTCGTAAAATTAAAAATTAAAATCGTAAATCCAAAAATTATTATTTATTTTTAGAGAAAGCCACGGGAATCTTATAGTGATTGCACATTGAAAATTACAATGGATATTCGCTAGAATGATGACATGGATAAAAGGTGCAGGCCAATCCGATAGAATTTGGAATCTGTGCAAGTCAAAACAATACTCCAATTGAATTTCAAGTCTAGATCTCAAAATACAATTCTATAAAGTGCCCAGTGGAGCGGGCGGGTAACAGCTAGTTATATATAATCATACATACAGATTATATATTGAATTGTATATAAGATTATAAAAATTATATATGACTATATATGAAGCAATATACAGCCATGCAGGATTATATATAGTTCCATATATAATTATATATAATCATGCATGATTATATATGGAATTGTATATGAGGTTATATATAATCATATATGACTATATATGGAGCAATATACAACCATGCAGGATTATATATAGTTCCATATACAACTATATATAAGTATGTGTAATTATATACGCTTATATATAATGAACATATATAAAAATTTTTTTTTGGTAATCACAAAAAGTGTAAAATGATGTTTATAATTACGTTTAAATAATTTTGAAATACAAAATTTGTTACAGTTCCTATGAGATGTTTCGGTCTGCTTTGGAACTACCTAATAGTAAAATATCATCATTTATTTTATTATTTAAATAAGTGTTAACATTTGAACATAACACGCACGGAGATCACCAAAGTTAAGCAGCATTGAGCAGGGTCAATAGTTGGATGGCTGACCACTGGTGTTATAGCCGTAAAATTATATCTAGACATTTTTTTTTGCATTTTACTTGGCGACAGAGAATAGCGTAGGACCATATTAAATACTCTATCCATAAAATTAACCTAATAATTAATTAGATGTAGTTAATATATAATTAAATATTGTTATATATAATTATATATAGTTATATATGATTATAAATAATTATATATTAATGATATATTTTTTGGACCGATTGATTGTATATATGAGTTAAAGTTTTGGCCTATTTTCGGTCGAAGACTAGTGTTTTTCTAATTTAAGCCCAAACATGGATGTTTCATCTTCCCAAACTTCCAGCTTTACTAGTATTTAAGTTCGATCGGTCCCATCGAACTAATGCGAAGAGAGAATATAGCTCTCGATCAAATGGGAAGATGAAAGATCCATATTTGGGCTTAAATTAGAAAAACACTAGTCTTCGACCGAAAATAGGCCAAAACTTTAACTCATATATACAATCAATCGGTTCAAAAAATATATCATTAATAATAATCATGCCTGAAAAATAATAATTAGTACATTACCATCGTAGTACGTAGTTTGGGTAAAATGGATGGGAGAGTAAGTAAGTACTGAGAGTATAAGTATAGACTGAGAGAAGGTGATGGTAGAGGGGACCCGGTAGCTTAACTAGTAGAGCTCCTGACATGTTATCAGGGAGATCCAGGTTCGATTCCTGGCTTGGTAACCAACCCCATTTATTTTTTCAAAGTCTGTCTTTGCTCTCATTCAATTTTCTTTCACTATCTTTCACTTAATTAACATCCTTATAACTCGAACAGATACCACAAGTTTCCAGCTTTACTAGTATTTAAGTTCGATGGGTCCCGTCGAACCAACGTGAAGAGAGAATATAGCTCTCGATCAAATGGGAAGATGAAAGATCCATTTTTGGGCTTAAATTAGAAAAACACTAGTCTTCGACCGAAAATAGGCCAAAACTGTAACTTATATAATTATATATGATTAGATATGATCATATTTGGCCATTTTTCATATTTAATCATATAAAACCAATTTATATATAAATATATATAAATATTTTTTCTCGGGTTCCTAAAGTAGAAGCTGATATAAATTTTTCAGCCAAATCGAAAAGGCTCGGATTCTGAAGTGATCGCTTTGAGGTGAAATGTCCCGTATATATGGCCCATTCCATGCCAAATCGACAAATTTTCTACCCGTCCCCTTCGATTTCGCTCAAAGTTTTGTATCTTTATCTGCCCCCCAAAAGACATTTTTAGGAATTATTTCAGATTTTTTTACCCAACCCATAAAAAGTTACGAGTTTTTGGAAAAACCGCATTTTTTTTTTAATCGCTAGAACTTTTTCAAAATTTGTCCGATTGGGACCACATCAAAAAGAAAATTTATGTTGTTTGGTGTAGTTTTTAGAAAAAAATTTCAGAAGCTCGGATCTATGAAATATTTCGGTTTTTTCGAAATAACCGTTATTTTCTCGAAGTCGGACCGATATAATTGTATTTTTTTTCACTCAAAAAAAACCTCAACCAATTCTGCAAAAATCCGCGCTAGTTTCAAGATGTGCCGACAATCGGTTCTAATTTTTTTTTTTAATTGAAAAAAAAGTTTTTTTCAAATTTGGCTTATTTTATGTGACTTCATCATGAAATTTTATTGGCTTCCTCGTGAAACTTCAGAAGTTAAAAAATAAAATTTTCTTCGAAAATTTTAAGTGGTTATCGTCCGAAAAATTATGTTTTTTTTTCAAAAAAGTAAGAAAAAAATCATTTCTTTCACTATGACCATTTTCTTCTCTCGTACCGAAAAATGATAACTTTTAAAATGGAGTTGGCTTAAAAATTGCCCCTAGCTGATAAAACATGATAATTGATGAACTGATTGTGTAACGACTGAGTCCTATTTTTATACATGTGCTAATTGTCCAGGCGTTGAAAATATAAAACAATTGTTACTAACAGAAATGGATGATAATGCGATTGATAAAGTTAGGTATAAACAATGGGTGTCCAC